ATGTCTCTGGGACCCCAAGGGTGATTTATTATGTTTACAAATTTGTGTCAGATTGTAGTCTCAGTTTGCTATTTTTTTTTTGCAGAGTTAATCAGTACTTCAATCTAACATTTACTTACCTTTGTTTATTTGCTAGTGTGCGTTCACTTCTTTCAACTCCTTTCTGCCCCTGCCCTTCCTCCCTCCAAGAGTGGCAAGGATAAGGAATCCCTAAAGCTTATATTAATCCCATGGCCAACAGGTCCACCTAATAAAGTTAGCTTTTCATCAGCAGTCCAGAACCTTGCTTTCCAAAGCTCCCTGTTGTCAGCCGTGAGCTTTCCGCCCTCATTCCATAGCTGGGCTTCCCCAGCATTGGAGAAGGCATATTCCTTCAGGTGTTGAAAAGACCAGTTGAAACAGGCTGTCACTTCTTGTTTATTCCTCTCCTGGGGAAGCCTCCTCCTTCTCCTGTTGGCTACTGCAGGTTATTCTCAGCAACAGATGGTCAGGCAAGCAGCTGGCCTGGGACTGTGAATGTTAGTGAGGGGCTCTCTCTTACCTGAGCTGTGAAGGTCCTTCTGTCTTTTGTGGACTGCAGTGGCCTTGGTGAGGCTCCAAATGCATGGTTGGCTTAACACTGTGCAGCTATTTCTCAATGTTTGGCTCAGTTAATCTTTTCTTCCTACTTAAGAGAATGGTAAAATGTATTTCAGGAACATGCTTCTATACTTTTCTTCTATGTTCAGAGTGGATAAAAATCCCTGAGTCTTGGGATTGGCAGGCAGAGCCCCAGAACATCTCTCAGTTTCTTTGTGAGTAAAGCCTTGCACTTCAGTGACCAAAAGAAGGATGGGCTTTCATTGCATATAACTCTAAAGGGCACCCTCTTCCAGAGAGTACTCATATAATTGACTCAGGAGTGGGTAAGTATAGGATTTGGCCATTCTGGGTAAATATAAAAGTGGGTGACAATTCAGTTCCCTGCTTGGGCAGGGTGACTATAAGGATTATGGACTTATGTGCCCTGTCACATTGGGTACCTCTGACACCAATCTTCTGCCTCTATGACTACACAAACCTAAAATAATACCCCCCCCAGGGTATTCTTACACTCTTTTTCTAGGCACTGTCCCAGGTTTAAACAAGGACCCTGAAAATGCCACTTAAAGTTCTCCTCCATATGTGCTTATGGTTTTACAAATAGCTGTATCTATGTGTGTAGGTAGGTAGTAAATAGTGGGTAGACATTAATCTAGTCATCTGTTGTTGCTTGAGCCCATTTTTTTAGATACCTGAAACAAATTGTTTTACATTTTAAAAAATTATCATGCAAACAACACTCATTCATTCATTCATTCAAAATATTTAATGAGTGTCATATGTGGCCAGGACAAGAAACTTAGGCATTGTCCTTCCCCTCATGGAACTGCAGTGAGCCAAGGAGACAGTTAGGGTAATAATTGCAGCCCCACTAGATAAGTACTATAATAGAGGCAGGCTTATTTATAAATCATGAAAGATCAAGCCCAGGAAAGGAATTAAAGGTTTGCCAGAGTCAGGCTCCTAAATATCAGTAGGCTCAGTCATGTCATATATTTCATGGTTTGGATTGACATGGAGAAATCTGGAAACAACTATGCTGATTTAGCAAGCAGTGGAGGATTTGTAAATAAAGTCCGTGACTCTCTGTGATTTTCTGATTTCTGAGTGGTAGTCTTTTTTACTGGAGACATCTACCTGAAACAGATGAATACTGGCTGTTTTGACTTCCCAATAAACTCAGTCTTTTTTTAGCCCAGGAAACAATAACAAACATGATATTTAGTACAGAATAGTTTCATCTCTAGCAAAAATAAAATTACAAATGAAATACCTTTCAAGCTCGTGTAACTTGACCAGTCTTAATACCTTAAACTGTTCAGTAAGTTCAATGTGGAAATATGGAAAAGAAACACATGGGAAATAATCCTGGAATATCAGATGTACAGATTTTGATTGAGACATGTTCTCAGGACAGGTATCGAGAGGATCGAAATCTGTGGGAAATCAGAGGGGGCTTTGTCCTAGGCCAGCTCCCTTCTGTGGGGATTCAGACTGGACTTTGTCCTATGTTATATAGCTGCACTGTTGGCAATCTATGTGAAAGCACTTTGGAAACTGCTAAGTGTTTTACCAATATAAGGCAGCATTATTATCATTACTTTAAAATCCCATCTTAGTGCCTAGAAGAGTTAATGTGCCCCTTGAGGATAACTTAAACAATGAAAATAAGTCTAGTTTATTGTGCAATATCTCTTCCCTAATTATGCAAGGAATCCCCTAAAAGCTGTTGTTGAGTTTTAAGATTCAGCTTTGAAATGTTTTGCAATTCAAAATAGAGTTATATTGTGTTTTCCTAGTTTAGCAGAAATAAATACATCTCTATGATCTTTCTTACTCCCTTTCCTCCCCTTCTTCCTTTTCTTCCTTTACTCCCCACCCACTTCCATAGTAGGGAGTAGGAATGCACACCCAGGGGCATTATATAACTGAGCTACATCCATCCCTAGGACTTTTTATTTTTTTTTTCTTTTTAGGTAAAATCTCCCTAAGCTGTTCAGGCTGGACTTGAACTTGCAACTATTTGCCTGTGATTGATTATTTAGCTATTTAGTGGCACAGTCAGAACCAGAATTCAGCTCTCTTGGCTTCTGTTTTTGTGGTTTTTCTTATCATGGTAATAACCATAAATTCAAGTATTTTCACAAAAAGCGATACTGAAGTAAACCTACCACACATTCCCTGTTGTGCAATTTTATCTTGGGTAATATTAAGATAGTATCTTTTACCGTTTAAAGTCACATATACATGTAATGTACATTTACATATCTGCACTGGAGTTTAAGTGAGACATGCAAAATAATTTCACAGTTGTCAAGTTCAAGAACAAAACACGTGTGTCTTTTGGGTTCCTCACTTGAGCATGAAAATTAATTCTGAAAGTCTAGATATTGGAAAAGGCAGCTGGATGGCTATTTCGTTTTTGGAAGATAACTAAACATAAATACACTTCAACACACTACACTGTTGGTGATGGTTCTAAGCCTTTCCCAAACCCATTCCTCGTGAAGGTGTTGAGTCTCTGAAGGTGCAGAATTGATCAACCATGAAGCTGTGACCTAACATAAACTTGCTAAGAAATAGTATAATAATATCTGTGCCCTGAGGGTAAAACACTGAACCCTAGAGCTCTCTCTTTCATCATTGCCCAGACTATAATCATATTTCTTTGTTAGTATTTCCTCTTTGCATTGTGGGACAATTGACATTGATAAATAGCAGGGAGAAACCAAATTCAAAAAGAAAAAAAAGAAAGGAGGGCTGTCTACTGTTAGCTCAAGAAACAATGTGTGTGGAAAAGCTCTTTAGCTACTCCCCTCCCCACCTCTCTTTTTTTCATTCCTTGCCCACAACCCCGGACTGCAGCTGCTGACAGAAAGCACAACTGAGCTATACTTTGGCCACATTCGGCTTACGTTAATTGTGATAAACAGTGCAGCCCATAATATTTATTTTAAAGGTTCATTCAGTGAAAGCAAGCGTTCTTGATTTGTGTATAACTGCTAGTCAATGGAAAGCTGCAAATGTACAGAGAAGCTCTTAATTTCATGCCACGCAATTAATACGGCTGCTTGATGCTCTATTCTTCACAGGTGCAGGGGCGTTGCAACCCTTTGAAGAAGTGTGTAGCTAATAGCCCATATATAATTCAGAAGAAGTCTTCAATGGAAGACCCCCAGGGGATAAATGGACAGTCTGTAAGTAAACAGAATGTCAGTCTTAAGGAAAGAGTTATTACTTTTAAAATCATAATGACTATTTTTGTTGTAACCTGAGTGTCTGGAAATTTCTCAAAAGCTCTCAACCAATTTTTAATGATTTTGAACATCACAAATTAAATACTACACTAGTTCATCAGCCTAATCTAATTTATATTTTTCATTGGTGGTATCAGTTATCAAAAGTAGTCATAGAAGAAAAAGGCAATGCTTCGTATTTTGTAATTACAACCAATATACATAACATAATTTTAAGCCTAACATTTTCCTTTGTCTGGGGGAAAACTGTATTTGTCTTACAAAATATGAAATTAACGTCTATGTTTTGGCTTGCTTCATATGTATTTGTTTTGTGGATAAATGTGTGTGCATGCATGTTTGAAATGTTTTTAGTGTAGAAGTTTCTGTTTGGTGGACACTTAAATGATCTTGAAATTAAGAGAGCCTAGTTATTATATTTTGTTCATTTATTTTTTGAGCAGAAAAGAAAGGGCTCAGAAATTTTCCTCAGGTTCATATCAGGAAGAAAGAAAATTTCTTTTGGCATATAAATGACTGTCTAGTTTGAGACATTCTTATAAATAACTTCAGAGTTATTTAAAACTTGAATAATTCAATGAATTTTCATTTTAAAAAGATATTTCAGTGAATTCAAGTTTTTTCCTTGGAAAATTTCCATAGTACTATTTGGGACTGTGGACATGACTTTGCATTTGAAGTTCTCTGGTCAAGTAGGATGCTTTCAGATGTATGGTTTCATCTCTCAGTTTTGTTCACAATAAAATTATCACAAATCTGGAGTGTGATCTTTAGTAATGCTGTTGTGGTTCCTATAAGTGTGTGTTTTACAAGGCCGCTTGGTGTTCTACAATAAGCAGCAACTGCTAATGGATGAGGATTTTAATAACCAACGGTCAAGTGCTATCATGGTAGTTTTGCAGGCATACTGTATGCAATTATGGAGTGTATTTTATGGATCTTCTAAGTCATCCTGTGAGGTAATTCACATAAAGCACTTTGGGATCACTTTATATGGTGCAGCTTTTACCCTAAACAGGAAGAGTATCCTTAATTCAGTTAGTTATTTAAATTGTTGAAACTCCTGTTACATCAGTGATATTTGATTTTATTATATTTAAATACTTTTGTAGTGTACATAAAATAAGTGAAAAATGAGCTCACTAATAATTTATTACTTACTGCCACCTTTTATGTTCCACTGGTTCTTAGAGTCAAGTTGATGTGTTGGAGAATCACCAACAAATTTAGCAAAGTAGTGTTGATATTTCATGCTTGCAAATTCTAATTTAAGAGTGAAGATAAAAGAGAAACAATGTGATGCTTAAATATGTGTGTTGGATTTATCTCACTTAAAGGGTTCTCAAGGAACAAATAAGGACCAGAATGGATGATAGATACTGGGAAGTAGGAAGAAAATGTTCAAATGAGAAGGGGAACAAGGGGGGAGGGTAAAAGAAGAAGTAAGATTTGTTATGTGTGTGTACTCACCCCACTGATGAATTTAATCATGAACTGCATACATGTACTGGTAAAAAAAAAAGAGTGAAGAAATTAAGATTTGAAACAAAGAACTGGTTAAAAAATTAAGAGAATTTTCTTTGGCTTTCGTATCAGCACGATGTCATTTTGGTCCCTTTTTATTATGGGATAGTAAAACACATTTGCTCTTGAAAGTCAGTTGGCTATCCTAGAGGTGCAAAACCAGGGAGGGACATTTCTCAAGGGCAAATACCATGTGGCATTCAGATTGCAGAAGCCCTTCCTTGACCATTTTTCTCTTACCTGCTCAGCCACAGATGACAGCCATCTCTTCAGACACTCCAGAGTGGGGCCTTGGGTGGGCCCTCCAGCACTTGCTTCCTTCTGCTGTCAGGTTACTCCTTTTTATTCCGAAGGTGGAGAAAGTGACTCAGGATCAGTAGAGGATCTTGAACTTAGTTGAAAACATTCAGGTTACTCAGAAAAAAAAAAAAAATTGGAACTCTAGACCAATACCCAAATTCCTCACACTTATGCACATGACTGAATTTTCTCTTGCTGGTCACATTCATCTTTCAAAAGTTTTTCTTAGACAGAGTTTCAACTTATTTGTAGTACACACAAAATTATGTTGCACCTGCATGTAACTCTTTTGCATGTACTGAGAGGCACATCTTAAGTGTCCACTTGTGACAGATGGATATACCCTTGCAACCCATTCCTTATCACAGAGAAGAACATTCCCCTAACCCCACAAAGTCCTTTGTGTTCTTTGTCGCTCAGGGCTTCCCCAGTGCCCATCTCGCGGACAAATGCTGTTCCAACTGTTTTCATCTTTGATGACTTTTGCCCAATTATTCCAAAAACTCATACTCAGTCCTCGTACCATGTCTTCTGTTGTTTCTGGTTTCTTTACATCTGCGAGATTCATCAATATGTTGCAAGTATCAGATTATTCTTTTTATTGATCAGTAGCATCTGTTGTATGCATTCTTTTAAAAATAATAAGTACACTCCAACTTGTCTGGGGAATTTTTGCACATATAAAATGAAAAGAGTGAAATCCACATAACCTAATTAATATCCTTTCCAGACTTTTTTTTTTTTTTTTGGAACTTTCCTTTTCTTTTGTTCTCTAGCCCTTTGCTCACAGAATTACACCTGGTAATGGTCATTTCTGGATTGTGCCTCTTCCAGTAAGGCTTAATACTTGCTTCTCTCAGCATATTTTTAATAGAGGTAGGACCTCTGGTTTTCTCATTAGAATAGGATATTTTAAAAAAAAGTTTTCTTGAGAGGTTTCATACACAATGCCAGTTTACAAAACATATTTGTAATATTCAACATGTGCAGTTACCACAACAATATTCTGTCGTTTCATAGTAGTCTCTCAAGTCTTGATGCATCTTTCTTTCCTCTGTAGGTACAGATGTGAGGAGAGGGGGAGAATGGTGATGTTTCCTCATGTCTTCTCATTAGCCCAGATATTTGGGCAGGGCAGAAGGCTGACAGGAGTGCTGTTGACATTCTTTTAGCCTTGTGACAGGTGATGAGCCCAGGGGTCTCTCCATGGGAGGGACACATGGAAGCTTCTCTGTCATTTCAGGGATGTTGGGTTGGAAGTGTGTGGAAACCCTTATAAAATGCACAGCCACTCTTAATCTTGGTACTACTGTCATGCATTGTGCAAGTTGGAGTTACAATTTTTATGGTGGCTCATGACACTTGAAGGTGGGAAAATGGCTAATTGTTGAATACCAAAGAGCACACTGTCCCTGTAATATAGCCTTTGCCTCTAGCAGAGTTCTGGAAATGTGTCTGTCAGGTGAGGAGAGACCATGAGCTGAGGTGAAGTAGCTCCTCACTTTTGGATTCTGGGTAGACTCAGCATAGGACCAAAATGTTAAACCAGAAATTCTTCCTTTTTTATTCTGGAATGTTCTGCATATGTGTGTTCCACAAGTAGGAAGGTGAAGTAACTCATGTTGTTATCTAAGTTCTGTCTACTACTCTATCAGTCTTATGAGGACATAATGGAGAGGAAGAGGTTAGTGGGGCCTTACATCATTTCTGTCATAAATCTGGTCATTCCTAATCTCTCAGGAAGCTCCCATTTTGGATGATACAGTGCCACTCTGACAGCAACATCAAGGCAGCAGATCCACTGCAATTATCAGCTGCATTTCCCACCTGGGGTGAACACCTCAAAATCACAGCCATGAAAGAGCTGAGCTCTGGTGACATCTCAGTTTTTGTAGTATATGAAGATTTCTAGAAGCAGATTACATTAGAAAAAAACAAAACAAAACAAAACAAAAAAAACTACCAGCTCTTTGAAGAAAATGTGAATTGTAAAAAACTATGTTTTCCTTATGAAGCTATGAAGACTACAGTTAAACATTCACTACACAACATAAAACTTGAGAATAAGATAGCCTAGCATCCCGAAAATAATATTTTAGATGTGCAGCAGGAGACCTGGCTTACCCTTTTACTAGTTGTATGACAGGAGGTGGGGTTTCACGCATCATCAGCTCCTGTATGAGAAAGATGCTAACATTTGTTTCTCTTATTTAAAAATCACAGTTTTGTAGCTCAAATGGGATTATGTATTTAAAAATTCTTTGAAAACTAGAAACATCACTAGAAAAATGCAGTTAAAGAAAATATTATCTGACCATCTGCAGGTCTTCATAATTTTTTTTTTTTTGTACTGGGGATCGAACTTGGGACCTTCACTTTTACGGCAAGTGGTGGAACCACTGGGCTAAATCCCTGGCCCTCTACATAAAAATTGTAAAATGCAGCCATTATACCTGTGCCAGTATTACCATCATGGACATATGCTTGATTATGCTGTTCTCAGCTGGCAGGGAAGGGTGTCAATCAGGTCTCCCGAGACACTAGAAGACACATTTTATTGTAAATGGCAGATAATTCATTTACTTTTATATTAAAAATTTCAGACATTCTACATCTTTTTGGAATAATGATACTTTAAATTTCAACTGTATTCTCAAAATTGAGCCTCTTGAGTGTCCTTTAAATTTAACTTGAAATACTCACAGCAGGTTTTGCTGAGATGCTGGATCAGAAGAGACATTTAAAATATGTACATACTTTATTCATATACTTGAAGATCCTAAAAATAAAAAGTGACTTTTAGCCAAAATGGAAAACTTCAATAATTATGTTAGGAATAGAAAGAAGCACACCTTTTAGGACAAGTCACTGAACGTAGCTATTTAAATACAACCCACATTGTCAGACTAATTAGGAAATTATTAATCAAATCAGGGCTTCATTTAGTCAGCTTAACTAAGTGAAGTGTTTGAATAACTTAAATTTAAAATCATAGAATGGAGTGATTTTTGAAGCAGTACTATTTCATTAAATGTCTGCATTAGTTCCTTAGGACTGGGTGGCTTAAAACAAAATAGAAATTTGATGTCTTGCAGCTCTGGAGACCAGAAGTCCAATGTGAAAGCATCAGCAGGGTTATGTTCTCTCTAAAATCTGGGGTGGAATCCTGCCTTGACATTTCCTAGCTTCTGATGATTTGTGGGTAGTGGTTTGCTTTTCTTTCCTTACTTCCATCTCTGCCTACATTGTTGCATGGCAACATGTGTCCCTCTTGTGCTTGTGTGTCTCTCTTCTTCATAGGAAGACTCCATTTCTTTTTGGATTAGGGCTCATTCTAGTGACCTCATCTTAATTATATCTGCTAAGACCCTATTTCCAAATAAAATCACATTCATAGATACTGGGGATTTAGACTCAACATACATTTTTTAGGGGAATGCAATTCAACCCCTAACAAAGACATAGTATTTGAGGCCTAAAACTATCCCACCCTCCTTTCAGCAAAATGAATAATCCCTGTTTATGTGGTTGCAAGTAGTGGAACTGAATTACCATGAGTTGGTATAAGCAAAAAAATAAAAACAAAAACAAAAAAACTGAAAGGATAAAGGGCCACAAACAGACTTCCTTTAATTTTGATGAGCATGTTTTCTTCAGCCTTCTCTATGTTGACAGCCTTGCTTTCCCAGCTCCTCTCTCACGCAGTGCTGCAGTGCTGGCAAGTCATCATGATTTGCACATTACTGGCTCAGGATTCTCCGGCTGATGGAGCAGGAACTGCACAAAAATGAATCAGTTCCCAGGACAGCAACTGGCAGACCATGTAATGATGCCTACCACGGGCCTCAACCCTTCAGGTTGAGATCTTTGAAGCACTGCTTTGAAACTACAGTGCTAGTCCCATTGCCTTTTCTTATAATTAGGGATACTTAGCCCTTGAGGTACCCTCAACAACATTCTAAGCACCTTGGTCAATAGCAAGTAATGACTTTGCCTATCAACCTTTCCATCACTACCTATTATAAGCTGTATTCCCCAGAAGCTAGTTTTCTTCTCTTCCTTCATCTGTTAAATAGTAGTGATGATTTGTATTTTCATGTTTGGCAGTAGAGCTAGAGTTGGAGTAGGCTGATTTGTTGGTGTTGTAGTCAGGGTTTGCAAGGGAATAAATTTAATACAGGATTCATAATTTACAGGATTACTTTATAATGTTCACCCAAAAAGTCAGATGCAGAGGAGTGCAAGAGATCTTTACACACACTAGAGACCTGAAGAATCCAGCTGAGGGCCTGGATCCCATGGTAATGTCCCACACAAGTCCAGCTAAAGGCCTGGATCCCAAGGCATTGTCCTCCAGGAGTCCAGGCAGAGGCCTAGAGCCCACAGCCGTGTCTCATGCAAGTCCGTATCAAGGATCTGCACCTGCAAGGCCCAAAGGCCAGGGGTGGAAGCTAGTAAGTCTGTGCTAGCAGGGTGGAGGATCTGTGGCACCAGGCTGAGGAATCTGCACTGGAGCCAGGAAGTGACCCTCAGGGTGAAAACCAGAGCTCCTCTGATGATGAGAACAGCTAAGTTCGTATCAAGAAAATTAGCCAAGGTAAACTTCTCCAGGAAAATCCACAGCATACAATCATCCCTCCAGTTCTCCTTCTGTGCCGCTGGCAACAACTCTCAGGTGGGTCTTGCACTCCCAGAATCACGCTGACTCATTTCAGCTGGTTGTTCAACGTTGACCATTAGTTAGGCCACCACAACTGTGCCAGGTGCATCATCGACAGATAAGAATTTGAACATGAGGGCTGGGGATTTAGCTCAGTGTTTTCACCACCTGCCTCACAAGCGCAAGGTCCCGAGTTTGATCCCTGGTCCAAAAAAAAAAAAAGAATTTCAACATGAGAAAGCAGTGGGGCATAGTGAGGAAAACCCTTACTGAGCCAGAATATCTGTTTCTGAGCCACAGTTTACTATTAATCCTTTCAGTAAATCACTTCAAGGTATTCGTTTCAGTTTTGCAACCTTAATTTTGCTTTTACAGAGAAAATGAGATATATATTGCTAGATGTCTCTGATAAAGAAGTAAGATACCACGTGTCAAAGCATATTGTAAATTTTGAAGTAATGTATAGAGCCATCAACACCAAGCTGGTGACTGGTGTGGGGAACTTTTTCTGGAAAGGCCAGACTAAGTCAGGTAGACTTGTTTCAATCTTGGCTGTGCTCTCAGGCACATTGTCTTCTAATCTTCGTAAGCCTCAGCTATTTTTCATTAGTAATGTGGCGATAATAGTGCCTTCCCATGATGGTATGATTAGAAATAGTATACAGGGAATACACAGATTCTGGAGCCCAACTCCTTGGCTTCAAATTTAAGCTGTGGTGCTCACTAGCTGCATGACCCTGGAGAACTGTGTGAGCCTCCACTGGGCCATTTGCCATGTCTGTAAAGGGGATGATGATCACGGGTTGTTATGAAGACTGAGGTTCCTGTGTGAAGATGTCGAGGGTAACATCTCACATACAGTGAATGCTGCCTCATTGTCTGCTGTGAATATTAATTATTATCCTAAA